GACCAAAAATGACTTGTGGTCTAGGCGGCAAAATGGTTTCAGCTCTGGATGATGAATTACTCTTCTATTTTAAGCTCAGTGTCGCCTCCATGCCTAATAGGAGCGTAAAACATGTACAAAAAAGCTGACACATTCCTTTATCTTGCTAAGATAAAGGAATGCGCAACACCTCAAACTTAACTGATTAAGAAGACATAAACCAGAATTCGATAACATGAAAAGTTAGTGTTTTGCAAGATGAGATGGAATTGATTTCCAGCATGAGGGTAACAGTGTAGTTATGCAAACTCTCACACAAACTGACTTCTTTATCTGCCACTCTCCAGTTCTCTGCCTTTCTCTTAACACCACAAATCAAAACACACAAGACACACAGATGGGTTGTGACTCATTTCATCAAAGAACGACTGGACTTCAGGGGATAGCGTGCTGCTTCATTAGACTATGTGACTGGTCATGAGAAAAGCAATGACCATATCTTGTAAAATTCCATGCAGTGACTCACAATTTGCCCAGCACTACCTTGTAACCTTGTATATATATATATAAAAAAAAAACATCAAAAGCTGTACAACAGCACATGGAGTTTGCATAAATCAGGATACAAATAGTTACATAAAAGTGATCTATTTTATGTAAGTAAAACAAAGCTTTAATAAATGCTGATTTGACAATGAAAAAAGACAGATTGGTAAAAAATTAAGTAATGACTCCAGTTTATGCTGCAGTGTCTCAAATGGAGGCTTTAAACCTGTACCCAATTTACAATTCCATAGAATTATTAAAGTCCAGGTCATCATAAGGAATGAGAAATGTACCGACATTGAAGACTACACTAGCCTCAAAGACATAACCTTTCCATAACGTTTCGATTGGGTTAGTCAGTCAATCAATATGCCTTTCATGCTGTAGGCCTAATACACATAGAGTCTGTGGCTGTACCCCATTTATTCAGCTAATTACAGAACCAGACACAGACACAAAAAACAGCTGGTGTGCAGTTAAAAAAAAAAAAAAAAAAAAAACGTTAAGAAAATCTGGAGCATATGCTAAAAAAAAAAAAAAAGAGTGACATGGCCTCATTGTGGACAGTTAAAAACATCCGTGTTGAAGCAAACATTTTAGTGCATTTATTTTGGATTTTATTTTTTTTTGTTTTTTTGCTGGGGAAACATTGCTCCAGAAAGGGGATGCATAAGACACACATAGTGTAAAACAAAGAAGGGGTCAAAGTAGAAAGCACTCAAGCCAATGTCTAGACTTAGTTTAAATTTTGTATCAAACTGTGCCAGAATGGGTTCGGTAAGGCTGGTAATGTAAAGAGGGCACAGGCATGACGGAGTAGCAAAAACACAGTCAAACAGACTCACCATCGGAGAGCCAGTGGCGTGTGGTGCAGCAGGCGTCTAGTGCCATGACTCAGGGATTACACGCTAGGAATGACTGGGGATGGGACGAAGTACGCTCACTAGGAACTCACAGTATCCCACATCAAGGAGTCGTGAGAAAAACCCATGTGGCCAACAGAAAGAAATGGAAACATTGGGGGGGGGGAAGAATAGAGGGGGTGAATCGTTTGAGGACGAGTGGGTGGGTAATTGACTATAGAGTTACAAAAAAACTCTTGTTTGTGCTAGACTTCCCCTACCCAAGTATTTTATTTTTTTTAATTTATTTTGGTTTTTTATTGTTTTTGTGAAAAGTGAGTCAATAAGATGGTGTAGACAGAAGGCTTCCAGGAGATCCATTACATTCGGATTACTGTTCATTCAGACCATTTACTGCTATCAAACTGACCACACCTTGGTTGTTCTTTAAACCTTAAGATCCTGACTCTACATATGTTTATTATTTAGTAGAGTGCTGTATCTGCTACTGACACGCCTTACTTTATGACTAAGCTTTATATGCAAAAATTAAGGCGTGTAGTCACTAGGGAAGCATTGTGAAAGGACCTACGCAGTACATGGTTTTATGTGCAGAAGATAGACTCAGTCAAGAAGCAATGAATGAAGCACTGACTGAATAGGGGGAATAACCCATTTCATAGATTTAATGTACAGCAAGGAAAGCAAAGAAAGACAAGGTCATTGTGGAAAAGCACAGACCTCCACTTCATGCTGGCCAGCACAGGGAGGCCAATTGTCAAAGTTAGCACCTACAGCACTGAAGGTCAAAACACAGTCTGGTCAAAGACTGTCTGATACAATTTTGGTGGTGTAATGAACTGATGTGAACAACTAAGGTCTGATTCTTGCAACCAGATCAGCCTCAGTTTCACTAAAAAAAAAAAAAAAAGGAAATTATTTGCACTGCTTGGTGAGATTCACAGACAGACCACATGAAGAAGGGTTAGGATCACCCAAACAGTGTTTACACAGCTGCTAACAAGCCACACACTCTCAAATATTGCCATATATTACACTGTGCCACTGAAGTAGCGTTGACACAATACATGATAATAAAACTGGAACCTTATGCAACTCTCTGTCATTGCTCCATAAAGCCGCAAAGTGGGAATCTCCATAGAGAAGAAAGTCTGACGTAGTTCTGGAAATCATCTCTGTGGCATGACTTGTATGTGCTTGTACTGTATGTGCCTGGCATGGAAGTAGATGCCATATAAGGCCTTGCTACATGAGCATCAGCGCTGCACTGTGTTGATCAGATAAAAGTGAGCCTCCCTTCAAGGTCTCTCCATGCGTCCATGCATGCCACCCAGCAGGGCATGCTCGGAAGCATTCCAGTCAGCCACTGAACCCCAAATTCCAGGTCTTATGAAACCAAGCAGTCAAGTGGGAGAAAGCCGAAAAGTATGTCTCATCCTGTAAATGATTGGCAAGTCTTTTCATTAGCAACTGTATGAAATTTTGCTTGATTGTGCTGTACTCCTACAGAATACAGACCAGCTTTTCAACACCACCTCTGGAAAGCTAAGTTTTGTTATGGCTACACAGAGTTGTCAGTAGCAAAATATCGTGGTCTGGGTTACCATGAAAAAAAGAAAAGAAAAAAAAGAAGTGTACTTTGCTGGGAATTACTCACTGTAGCGCTAGGGAAGAGGGGTGAGGGACAGCATAAGAGCTTGGGGAAACATTAGAAGCTGTGTTTGGTTGTACCTCTGACCCTGGCGTTGTGTGAGCGCTTTGAAAGAAATTACCTCAGCTGGAGGGTGAGGACAGCCCCACGAAAGCCGACACTGGCAGCACTTCCGTCACAAAAGAAAACAAATAGTATAGTAAGGTGGGCTGGAAATAGCCTACGCATGATAGCAGGGTATAAACATAAACACATATACCGTATACTGATGCAGGTGTTTTGCAGAAAAGGTGACTGCTGCAGTTCTAACTTAGCAACACTGCTTTTTTTTTTTTTTTTTTTTTTTTTTTTTTTGAAGCAGAGGACGTTTCGGCAGAAACGTCCACTGCTTCTCAGTGGCAGTCCAGCACATCCTTCTAAAAAAAAAAAAAAAAAAAAAAACTGTAAATGATCGCATTTCAACTCACCCTTAAACTTTTTAGAAGTTTAAGGCTGAACTTGTCTTCAACTATGTTGCTTTAGACACTGGGAGTACGTTTATCTTGTAAGCATAGTAACAACAAAAAGTAAACACAACTGTATATGTGGAGGCAGTTGGAGCAAGTTTCACTTGGGTTTTGAACTCCTCCTTCGCAGGCTTGCTATGACCCGAGTGCATCCAAGTGAGAGTAAGAGGGGCCGAGCATTGTGAAATGGTTTTGCAAGATAGCGCTACGCTCTGGCAACATAACCACGCCTGTCAGCAAATTTTTTTGTGTGTTTGTAAGGTATATGTGTATTTAGGCTTTGCTCCGCAGGTATTGACAGTAGGGAGAAGCTGGTTATGGCGGTGAATCACTGCTCCTTTAGTCGGTCAACTCTGGCAATTAGTGTCAGATTTCCATAATGCACCGTTATTAGCTTGCTGCTCAGCTAACAGGACTCAAAACGCCACCTGAGGTGTGAACAGGCAGGGGAAATTGATGTAAAAACAAACAAAAAAAAAGTGAAAAATGCAAATCAATCAAACAAAAGCTTTAAGTACAGGAAGTGAAACTATACAATGTTTTAAAATCCAAAACAGCTCAAAACTGTGGCCAAACCCATCACTACTGCTTGTATAATACCTCCAGCCAGCCAAGAGCTGGAGAGGCAAGCCTCAGCAGTGCAGATTCATCACATCAGCCTGCCTCTCCTTTCCTCTGGATACTCCATTTCAGCCACTTAGGAGAAGGAGGAGGAGGCGAAGGTAGTGAGGACAGAGGAAAGGGAGGCAATGGAGAGGGGGGCTATTAGGGACCACTGATTGTCTCCAAGGTGAAAAGTCAAAGCTCTACCCTGCATGACATGGGATATGTAGAGATGGGTAGGAGAAGAAGGGAATAAGTTGCACAACATAATCTAAAAAAAACAAACAAAAAACATAACTATGAACTAAATATGAGCAATGTCTCAATTAGAGATCAAAAATTCAGAATGGGAAAAAGTAAGATACTCAAAAATGCCATGTTTCACAAACACATCCCAGCTAAGTGATATGCTATCACGTTTAAACTTTATTTTAATCTTAAGTAACTGATGCAAAGTGTTCGCAAAACTTTAGGATTATAGGAAATGCACGTTTGGCCTAATGTAAAGTTCATAGCCCAATGCATTCAATAACAATGACGCGAAACACGCATACAGTACGGTACAGCCTATTGCATGACTGTGGAGCCTCAGGCGTGACAGCGTTTTTCTTTGCGTGTTCTCCAATATTGAGCAACAAAACAGTCTTAGTACATTAAAGGCGTCCAGGACGTGTTGTCCCCCTACTTTTAGCGCGTCTAATTGGTGAGAATCAGCGCTGTGCTTTACTCATTAACGTAATCTGTCACCGACCGGGTCGCCTTAGCTACGAGAAAGAAAAACATCTAAGGAGTGATGTTAGTCCCGTGCTAACTGTCAAAGCGCTTAATAAGAGGAAGAGTTGTCTTACTCACCGTCCATCTTTTCAGCCTTTATGATCGTTAACGTCGGTTTCATATCGACAGCTGCCGTCATGATCATCAGATCAGCGTGGTTTGAAAAAAAAATGCCGCGTTCCTTTTTTTATTATTATTATATTAACAGCTCCAAAAGAGGGGAAAAAAACTCAATAAGTGGGTAAAATCTGCTCCTCCTTTGGCGATTCTAATTCTATTCTCCTCACACTACAACACGAATAAGATTCTTTTACTCTAACTTATCTCGTTGTCTCTCTCCCTCACCGATGCATACACACACACTCCCTCTTTTCCTCGTTCTTTCTTACTCACTCACTCACTCACTCACTCACTCCTCTGTATCTCTAGCCATGGGCGTTGCATTTTGCACAGACCCGAAGCGCTGCGACTGTCGAAGGGGGCGGTGTTTGAGGGGCTGACTTGCCAGTTGATTCACAATTCAATTACTATGTCCCACTCTTACCATCCCACCCTCCCACTCATACACACACAAAGACCCGATCACACCCCCTCATTTTGTAGTGTGAAAATACTCTTGCCAAGACCACAGAACGTCATCAAATGTATGACTCGTTCCCGAAAATTCCTCTTTTTCCAAGAACACGAAAACAGTTTTAAAAAGTGGGGCTCAGTGTTGAGTGCCTTGAATGACTTGTTCATTATTTAGGCAAATGATTTTAAACGACACTGCAAAGAGTTTATTAAAAGGCTTTGATTCTTGGTATTTTGAGCCATGATGTTTGGAGTCTAACTTCAGTAGAAACAAACTTTGCTTACAAATGAAACATTTACTTCGGCATCTTCTTCCTGGTTCAGAGGACAGGACTGACATTGCTATGACAGTCAAATATAGTTAAGGCTGATAGTAAAATTGTTTACAACTTGCACCTCATCACTAATAATGTTTATGTAATAAACAGTGTGAAGCACTGCAGTCCGGTAGTCTGCTTGCCTCATTGCTGGCTTATTAGGTAGCTGCAAAACAACACAATGTTAGATGAAACATGAATGGTTCAAGGTTTCCAGAATAACAGTGACAGTTCTTGTGTGCATTGCACTCTGGGCAGGTGCCCCCTTTTCTATGTGCAACCAAAAGTGTCTATGCCAAGCACAAAACATATCCAGAAAAAATAAATAAATAAATGTGATTGGTCAGAAATCTAAAGAAACTCAGTGAATGTTAATTTTCTAACAATTAGTCTTGGTGCAAAGTTGGATAACTAGAATGATGCTTGAATTGATTTCTAAACTTTTTTTGATGTGACAGACAATCATATTTTTTGTTCACATGGAAAGTGCACACATCACAAACTGTTTCAAAGTGCCTACATAATTACATTGGGTAACACTTTATTTGAAGGGGGGTGAATAAGACTGACAAACATGACATAACACCTGTCATGAACACCAATAAGCCTTCATGAATATTTATGACTGTTGTCATAAAGCATCATTTGGTAAATTATGACACTTTTAATACAAGGTTGACATTATTCAAAATGTCTTTGTTATGACAACTTGGCATTAACCAAGAAATCATTACTGATATAAATTTGTTATAAAAGTATTACTGATTGCACTTTAAAAATTAGGTAACTTTATGTTATTAAAGGTAAAGTTTAAACAGTAATGATTTCCTGGTTAATGTCACGTTGTCATAACAAAGACATTTTGAATAATGTCAACTTTGTATTAAAAGATGACAACAGTCATAAATATTCATGAAGGCTTATTCATGTTCATGACAGGTTTTTATGACAGTGTCATGTCAGTCTTATTCACCCCCCTTCAATTAAAGTGTTACCTTACATTGCCTATGTTTGACATTGACATTGTCTCAAATTGGGCTTTAAAGTATCTGTGTTTACTGTAATATTAATCAGTGTAACTCTTGCCAACTTACACTTCTACAGTTTTCAATTAGACATAGCTAAACACTAGTGAAACTCCTTAAAAACATCAAAATAGTTCTTTATTTTAGCAAGGAATCAGTTACTTTAACATCATTGGTCACCCAAAGTGCATACTAGTACTTCTTGCAGAAAACTGCTTAGAGCGTTGTTTCGCCACCCACAGGCCCTGCAACTCTGAGGAGACGACACTATTACTCATATTAAAAACCGACACTCTGTCTCTAAATGGGACCAAAAATAACACAATAAATGGCCACAGTTTAGTTACTCTCCACTGTGTTGTAAGACCTGGTATTTTTATAATTATGACTGAAAACTAAATAATTGACAGGGATAAAATAGAAAAAGAATTCATGTTAAGGTATAGTTTATTTCGTTCAAAACATCTCTTTAAAGTCTTGGGCAAGCCTAGCCTTCCCCATAATTCACCCCCATAAACACTTCAGAGTATTTCCTGTTCGCCTCTTACAGATCAATAAAAACCTGCCATGTCTATTTACTTCACATTACTGAATCAGTTAACAGTGCCTAAAATGCAGCTTCACAAATAGATGCACATATCCACCTAGGTAAAGTTTAAAAATAGTGTAGTCTTTCTAACTTTAATTTTAATCTAACAATAAAATCTGCCAAACCAGGCCTGCTGTCACCATGATCATCAATGAAAATCCAGTTTCTTAAGGTAAACTGGGTGCTCTAGTTCTAATTTAGCCCCTTTTTATGAAGTTTTGTGCTTTCATATTGACAGTAATTAGGAACAATGGTCATGTCTTACTGGAAATTGAATCAAAATCTTGTTCTGCCACTGAAAATGAACAATGACAAGAGAAAGACTGGGCTCTCCAGCCGCAGTAAGTCTGTGCACAAGGCTCTGCCATTAGGGGCTATCTCCCATGGCAACAGAAACTCTAATAACAGATTCTAATATTATTGCTTTTAACAACAACAAGAAAATTGAATGTACAGGATAGATGAGGAATGATGCAAGTACTATCTATCTGAAGTTCATTACTGAAACAATCTACATGGTTTCTACACCAGGCTCCTATTTTCTAAGCAACCAGCCTCATTGTGACTGACAGCTTGCCCATTATTACAATACCTGTGCATGTGCCTCATGCATGTATTTCTAAATGGGATGATCTGGAAAGAGACAGGGGAGCCAGGATTATTGATCATATATGGATTTTTAAACCGGTGGTACTTCACTGGCTCCATTAGCCGCCCCGTATCAGGTTTCATTGGCATGATAGCAGTCTCATCTGAGAGGAGCACTAGCGGATTCTGTATTGAGAAGAGCTGCCTCACCAGAGGGGCTGAGGGTGGAAAAGAATGGAACAGTACTTCTCAATTCACATCAGCTAGCCTGACCATCACTCGCTCGCTCTTCTGACTGAACCTCTTTGTTTTCTGTTAATGAACTCCCTTCATTTCTGTTCTTAGAAGGACAGCCTGGGTTCCTTTGCGCCCGAGGGCAGCCATTTAAGGTTTAATGGCATTGCTGACTAACATTGAGTCTGGAGTCACTGTAGGACATTTTACTTTGGACTTCCTTTAGGTTTTACTTACCGAAATCAGTTTAACTGCAGCAAAAAGCCAATTTAATTTAATTTTCCGCTTTGCTCATTTTCTACCTTTCCAAAAGGTTATAACAACTGATTCAGCATAAAATATAACAGTATAAAAGTAAACTCCTTCCTTTATCACAAATCCATTCTTTAGACCATAATTGGTGTTATTTCAGGAAATTTGAGGTGAGTCTCTGGCAAAAGGTTAAAAGCAGTCAACAGCTTACCAAAAGCTGTTTTCATTTATAAATACAGATTATTTATAAATATGAATGACGAGTCCAAGCTAAACCCAAAACTAAAGCAGAGTTTTACCATCTCAAAACACTTTCAAACCCAAACTTTTCAAGTTTATTCTAATTCTATTTATTGAACCTTTAACACTTTGCCACCTTTGCATAGAGTTAAACAACTGAGGCATTTGCAGTTAGGGGTAAAGTAGTAACTTCTATAGCAGTAAATGTGAATGTCATTTTGATGATTATTCGACTGATTCGTCTGGGAGTTATCCCGCAATGGATTTGTCCTTAAAATCATAGCTGAAAATTATGTTTTACCAGAGTATGGTATGTTCAAGTTGAGTTGGAAAACCAATGAGACTCTGCAGTTGTTTAGTTTCTAACTAGTATTAGCAATGCATACCCCTGGCAATTTATTTCTTATGTTATCTGAACAAACATACATAACATTTTCATAACCAACACTATGTGCAACCAGTTTGAAGAGATTCAAACTTAAGCGATGTTTGCTACATTTCCTGTTTTACATGTACAGCAGCCATATTGGATACTAAATTCAGTACTGCTCAACCCTCAGATTTTCCCCATCAGGAGTGTTCTTATTGTTTGCTTTTTTGGGTAAGTGACAATTTGAAGTTTAATACAATAGTATTGTATTATAAACTGCAATAATGATTTTGAGATCTCATAGGTCTTGCCTGACAAGTCCTAAGCGCCATCCTGCACGGCAATCAATCTGGATTTATACTGAACAAAGACACAGAGTATCTAGGAGAAGTGAGACATTAAGTGATTATATCCTTTTAACAGAACCTGTTTTATGCAATGATCTCAGATCCAATGTCACTATAAAACTCTCATATTTTTCTATTCCCAAAGAATAGCAAAAGATGAGAGGGAAATAAGGATCACAATCAACACTGGTTAAACACACAGCAGCCAATTTTATATTAGCCTAGGAAGTTTTTGTTCTAAGCAACTATTGTTAAAACAAACGGTGTCTTTTCCTGTCTAGTCAATGTGATTGTTAATTGTCTTCCAGTCAGAAAACAGACATCCAGTGTGTGTACTAGACCTGTCTCCGATCAAAGAAGTTTGGTTTCAGCATCTCCGATCTTCACCTGGCAAATGCTGTTTCCATGGTTTTGACAGTTAGCAGGCTTCACTCATTTGTGCTGCAGCGCAGCAGCCACCGGCTAAAGCAGTTCTCTCTCTCTCCCTCTCTTCTTGCTGCTTGCTGCTTTCTGCCGCTGCTGACTGTCTCTCATTGGCACATCTGCGTTGCCTGCCTGTCTGTAATCCTTAGATGTAACCGTTGCACCTGCTGCTTTTCACAGAGTTAACGGAAAGGTTATTCGATTTAGAGCAATCCGTACAGCTGTCAAGTGATATTTGTGTTTGATGTTGGCACCCTCCCAGCAGGTTGCAAGGGTTAGTTCTGCTCAAAGTCTTTTGAGTTCTCCCCCCCCCCACTTCATGTCTGTAAGACTGCTAAATGGTGATCCATATGTAGGATTACACTGAAACATGTCTCAGACAAAAGATAGAGTATGACGTGATGTGTTTGGCATGGCATGTGAATAGACACCATTTAGCATGTCATCAATCAGACACTCATTTATAGCCACTCAAGCATGCACACAGACGG